GTCCAACGATCAAAATATTTGAATTTTACACTTGATGCACCGATGCACCTTGTGCATGCATCGATGCACTGACGCTCCCAACTGATTTTATTAATTGTTTTCACACTTAAACGGCTCTATTGACTCCATTAAGTATCCCCAACGTTCAGAATCAATTGAAGGAGTATTTAAACAAGTTCTGAAGCCATTGATCAACAAGAAACAACAAGAAATTATTGAGAAACAGGAGAGAAAACATTAAACATCAAGTTTGTGCAAATCAAGCCAATTTCCTTCAATATTCATTTTTATTTCAAGAACACAATTTGTGCTCATGTGTAATTATCTTTGAGTGTTCTTATCTTGTTCTAGAATTGTGCAAACATATTGCCTTGTGAGGTTTTCCTTGTAAGTTTGCAAATTTGTGTATTTATCTTTGAAAAAGAATGTGCTTAAGAATTGGGGTATAATTCTTGAGGGGGTTGTAAGGTTACTCTTTGTCCTCAAAAGAAAGAACAAATTAGTGAATTTGTTGGAAAATCCTTAATGTGGATAGCTAAGGTAGTGGACGTAGACTTTGGTTGAGAAAGTCGAACCACTCTAAATCGCTGTCCAACTTCTTTCAATTTTCTGCAAAAGCTTCCACCAACTTTTTAATTGCCAATTCACCCCCCTCTTGGCCGATTTCGTCGATCGATTAACTCAACAATTCTCTATGAGGTGAGTAAATAAATGAGCTTTCAAAGTGTTCACAAAGAGCACATTTGTTTCCTCTTCTTCCATGGGTGGATGTACTTGTATAGCTATGTCCCTCCATATATGGGCATATTGCCTGAAACTTTCATTGAATTTATTTTCCATGTTCTACACTACCATTAGATTAGGCCTAATATCCTTCACATGCTTATATTGTTCCAAAAAAGATTTAGCCAAATCGTTCCAGGATTTAATATGAGCTCTACTTAATTGGTTATACCATTGGATGGCCGAACTAGTTAAACTTTCTTGGAAACAATGGATTAGTAGTTGATCATTCCCTATATAACCCGTCATTTTCCTGCAAAACATCGTGATATGGGTAGAAGGACATTTCATGCCATCAAAATTTTCAAAATCTGGGATTTTGAACTTGGGTGGTAATACCAAATCAGGTACCAAACTCAATTCCTTGACTTCAATTCCATGTACATTAGAGCCTTCTTTCATAACCCTAAATTCTTCCATTAGTTTTTCCAGTTGTTTGTTTGACTCTTCTTCTCTTCTTGATCAAAATCTGGAATATTCTCAACTTGTTTTTGGTTAGGTAAATTTATATTTACCCTTCCTGGTTAAGTAAATGCTCCTGACTAGGCTTTAACATGAGAGGTTGCATGCTCTAAAGGCTCCTCAATTACTTTAGCTATTAGACGATATGCTTTTGGTGTAAAGCCTGGTGGATACAAAGGATCCTCAGTGAAAGTACCAACAACTGGGGAATTTATTTGGTCCATGCTTTTCTTTTGCAATATATTTGCAAAATTTTCCATCATCTCATTTTGGGATTTTATCAATTGTTAATGCACTTCCTGAATTTTCTTGAAATTCTCTTTCATATCAAGCTGATTTCTTTTAATTTGAGCGATCTTATCATCCATTACCCATTTTCTGGTATTATATGGATGCTTAGGGGGGTCTAATATTTTTCGAAAAAGAAAAAAACTTTTTTAATGAATATGGATGAAAAATATAATGTCAAAATGTTTATGCTTAATATGTAAATGCAAGGTGTTGATATCAAGATGATTTCTTCAGAACAACTTTTATATTAAAAGAAATTTCTATTACAAAGCTTTAAAACATAGTAAGATTATAAATACATCTGAGCAACTTCTCCTAACTGCTGTATATGTTCAAGTAACTCAAAGACCTTATAAGCTTTTTCGGTTCCTGGTTCTAATTCTTCACTCAAAGTGGTAGCTTCGTATGCCAAGTCCACTAAATATTGTGCCACTCCCTGAACCTGCTCTAGATACTTTGCAATGAGGTTGTCTCTTTGTTTGACTTTCCATTGAGCACGTTCCCAACGATAATGCCATTGCAAAATTCCCTCGTACAGGAAAATAGGGAGTTGATTCGTTTTTCTCTGAAGATCTTGGACTTTGGTTTCCAGCTCATTCACTTGTTTCCTTAGATTCATGGTTTTCGAGTTACTTTCTTGACTTCGGAGTGTAGTTTCCAACCTTTCGATCTTGCTTTTTAGTCTCTGATTTTGAGCTTGATTTTCCAATAGTCTTTGCTCTAATGCCTCTTTTTCTTTAGCAAGCATCTTGGTCCGGTGTTTACTTTGTTTGAGCTCATCTTTACCTTCTGCAACTTTTCTCTTTAAACCCGTTGACTCTTGTTTGCTTGATCCTTCGACTATCTGAGTTTTTACCATCTGTTGATAGGTTGACTGAAGATCATTGAAATCTATCCTGAGCTGTTTTTCAACTCTGCTAACTCGATCTGCTCGCCCTTTATGGATATCTATCTCAATTTCATTGTGGTATATTTTTTCTTCCAGCTTTTGCAGAGTTTTTCTCCATTGCTTTCTTTTGATCTCAAAGTCTTGCTTTACCAGCTCTAATGGAGATGATATAACTCTCAAATGTTCTTTGACGTGTTAAACATTCTCGAAATTAACCACTGGAATGTTGTCGTTGACTCGGTTGATTCTCCATTATTCGTATTCGGGTGAGAGCTTTTGACTGAAAGTAAATAAATTTACTCGGTGAATCCATTTCCAAGTCTCAGCAACCTTTCTGATCTTTTCCTTGTACTGATCACTTCTAAATGCAAATTCTGATTCAGATAAACCAGATGTCGCAGGAATAAACTGTCTTGATCCGTATTGTCTGGAGACTATCAAAGGTGCATATCCTACAGAACCCCATATGCCAGGTAAGGGAACCCAATCATGCTCTCCACACTTATACACTATGTTTGAAGAAGTATTCCATGAGGCACGCCATAATACGCTATTATCTTCAAGATTTCGAAAGATGTTCATCAATTTTTCTTCGTCATAACCTCCAGGCTATTTACGAGAAATGAAATCTTGTAGAGGGGAGAAGTCCTCCAGAAATACTCGTCCAGGAACTCTTTCTTCATGTTTAAAATGATTCATAATCCATACCAATAATAGGGGTGCACAGCCTATAAAACGTCCCTCTCATTCACGTCTGCAGGAATTCAAGGAACGAAATGTTTTAGCTAATATGGCAGGAACATGATATGCATTCTTGTTCAATCTTTCAAATAGGTCTACAATTGATATATCCATATGCCCCAGAATCTTCGGGAAAAAGATTAATCCATAAATTCCTAAAGCCAACATATCAATCTGCTTCCTTTTGTCTGGATGGCGGTAGATTACTTCTTTCAAGGAATTCCAAGTAATGCATTCACTATCACCTTTCCTCTTGATATTTCTTGTAGCCTATTCTTCACTTATCCCGATCAATAAAAGCATTTTATTCTTAAAAGGAGCAGTATCAGGTGACTCGATATATACCATGTATTCATAGATTCTTGGACAACGAATAAGAGCTCGATATTCTTCTATGATAAGTGTCAAGTCTACTTTACCAAATGTGAAGCAACTGTAGGCAGGGTTCCAAAACTGTGAGAGAGCTCTGAACAGACGTTAGTAAATAGGAATGTCCAAAAGATAAGCAATGTCGCCATATAGCTGATAAAATAGCTGCTTGTTTGCTGCTTCCCACTTTTCCCGGATTTCTTTCAACTCACCCAGGTTCTTTTGGCGAACGTTGATATGTGTATATTTGACCAAATCTGACATGTATCTAGGTGATAGACTATATTTCCCTTGATAAGTTGAGACTGTTCAGACCATCTTAAAACGATTGCATTGTCTTCTACTTCATATTAGACTATTTGTTCCATATTTCCAGCTCTCTATATGAAATCAGTCATGAATCAACACCATGATATGAAAATGCAGAAATGAAAATGAAGCATAAAATTAATTAAAAAACCTAATTTCATGCTATCTAGCTCCGTGCTTTATTCAAAATAATAAACATAACCATATGATTTCTAGTTCACATACGTTTATTCAAAAATAATACTAAATAAACAAAAGACTCAACATATTTTTCCTTGTGTGTTCATCTCAAAAGGCTTAATCGGGCTAGGTTCCGCCTGAACTTAAGTTCTAAGTTTTACTATATGCTGGGTTTTGGCTCTAGGGTAAAAAGAGTCAACAAATTGTCCTTTGTTGGTGGCCCCTTAGACTGCCAAACCCTCAATCCTGGTCTATTACAAACTTTCAGATTAAGTTCAATTCGAAGGAACACACTTCCTTATATCCATACGGAGGTGAAAACCACACGAGGAACATAAGGTGTGAGCTCAAAGAATAGTCCCCTATCCCATACGGAGGTGAAAACCACACGAGGGAGTAATTTCTCATTCACTTAAACAGGATAAGAGCAGGGTTTTAGCTTGTGTCATGAATGCAGTGCACAGTGGGTGAGGAAAAGCATAAAATAAATAATATACAACTCATTATTCTATTCTAATGACCCAAAATTAAATCTGTACATTTCACTCGAACCCGATCTGATTTGACCAAAAAATATATATCTTCCATCCGACTCTGATCGACTTGAATTTTTAGAGTACAAATATAATCTGACCCGACCTACCCGAACGTACAAAATAAAGACTTTATTAAAATAATAATAAGTTTTTTAATGAAAATTATATTATTATCTTCGGGTCGGACCCGCTCCGCCCCAATATCACTCCTTTAAAAATTCGATCCAATCTAACTTAAACCTAATTTTTTTTTAAAATCTGACCTAATCGAGTCAGGTCGAGACGAAACCGTTGATTCCTTAAATTGCCATCTCTGAATAGATATTTGAACTGACCAAAATATCCTTAGGAGTTCAGACAGATGGATTGCTTACGTGTCGTCTGTTCAGGAAGCTCTCGCAACCAAAGATTTCTCGTTTTGCAGACAATCCCCCACGCGCTTTCGAAAGTGCACACTTTTAAAGAAGATTCTCGGCATCCAAGCGGTTAACGGAGCAGCATAAAACACTTTTTGTTCGACGAATTGGAGTAGATCTGGAGAAACAGCAGAGAGTTTTCCGCTCTGAACGAGGAAGCTCTCCGCAGTCGGTGATGGCTTCGTCGCCGGAACATCGCCGCAACTCGACCTCCGCCTCCTCATCTTCCTTTTCAGTAGAAATTCCGGTGAAACGTGAGCAAGTGATATGTATCGATGCTAAAGTTATGGATAGTAGCAGAGGCTTCCATGAAGGCGCCAGTGGCGATGGTTTTCGCGCTGTAGTTGATCGCAGTGCATTGAATAACGGTGGCGGCGCCGAATCTTCAGGTGCGTCGAATTTATCTTCATGAACTTCGCTGCGCCTTAGCGATAGAATTTAAAACCTGAACGTTTTGTTGCGCTGTTTGTTTCTGGACTTTGTCTATTATTGCCTTGGTCGAGTTTGACTGAATTTTGGCCTGATTTTGACTTTTTCCATTTCATTATTGCATAATACTTGTCGCGGCTCATTCATTTATTGTTATTAAATTTGATAGTGTAATTTGCTATTTGTTGAGTTTTATTATTTGCAATAAGAATAACAATCTATCACTGGCTTACGATTTTAACAGATATAAATTTGGATTGGAAGTTCATCTTGATAGAAGTTAAGAGTTATAAGCTGTTGAGAGCAGTTACTTCTCCGGCTGTAGTTATAAATACATTTGAGTAAGCTGAAATAATAATACCATGATCATCTTTTCTTTGTTTTTCTTCTCTCATATCTTGGTTACTCATTCATGTCCAATGTAGAAGTTGACCACCAATGATGATTTCTCACGCATCTTAGGTGCTTGTATTGGGTAATAGCCTTTCTATTGGGATATTGCTTCCTCGAGGCAAATGATAATGACTTTTGTTAGAAATGTATATCATGGGTATGCTCATGTTGGAAGGACATCGATGCCATGTCTGACAGTTGACAGCAGAGAAGTAAAATGTAACAAAGGGAGAGGGAACTAGGAATGAGGAATAAAATTATTTGGAAAGAGATAAAAGTGACTGCAGGGTGGCAGTTGACTGGGTTAGGGATTTCGTTTCATGTCCTGTTGTTTATGCTTACATTGTTAAAGATATTTTTGAAAAACTTAGACTGTGTGAAGGTGTTATTAGATGGGTTAATAGGGCAGCTAATCTAGAGGCAGACGCTCTAGCTAAGGCTGGAATTGGTTGATAATTATGTTGTTTTTAAGGTTGTAACTATTTAGGTTGTCGATCTCCTTCAAGGAGTTCTAGGTATTTGTAATCTATTGTATTAAGTTTATTATTAATAAAATCCAAGGCACTCTTTTCCTCCTTCCGCTGATTAAGGAATTTTTTCAGAGTTCCATTAATCATGAAGGGAGTTTTTAATGAGGCCTAATATTCCTATAAAAAAAATAAAAGAAAAGGGAAGAATTGGGATTGAATGTCAAATATGATATATCGTTTTAATGAGGTAAAATCTGTCTTCTCATTCCTTTGTATTTGTTAGATGTTCTAACTTCCAAGCATGGAATGAGGAAGAGCACAACCTTCGCCCCCTATTATTTTCCAAAACTAACTAGTAATGGCAACCCCAGTTATCTCGCATCCTCCTTCCTTCCTTTTATGTTACAAGTTTGTTTTCCATTTTACGGAGAACAATATTATCCTTGCAGTTGGATTGTATTCTCATGTTATGCAATGCATAGAAGGGGGCTGCAAGTCTATTGTCACATCTATTGCTTCGTCCACACTTCTAATTGGGGTATTATTAGAAAAATATGAATTTTTGGTGTTTTGGAAATTACATGAGTTGGTATCGGCCATATCATGCAGGTTTTCCTTGATGTAAGTTTGGCTAATAGGCCTGTGAGAAACTGAGAATAAAAAAGGAAGAAATTGAAAGAAGAAAAAGAAGTTTTCTAATTAAAATTCTCATTGAAAAACAGAAAACACAGCCTGTTTTTATAGGTTATGGTTCACAAGCTAGAGTCATATCAAATTTCTTTTCTTCCTAACTTTTATCTTATCTCATAAGAAGCTTAATCCTAATCATACAATATAAATAACTCATAAATAAATAAAACTACTTATTCTAAAATATACTAAACTTCTAAGTGAAATAAAATTCCTAATTGTGTGTAACTTTCTACAAGGCCTGATATCAAATGGTTTTTAGAATGTCCTACTGAGATCCTGGAATCCTTTTTTGGTGTGGCTGATTCAATGGAATTAGCTGTAAATTAGAGGTCGATATCAGGTCTATTTCAGACAAGTTTGAAGGTGCTTGAGTATTCATAGCAAGGTGTCAAGCTGCTGGTAAATTAAGTTAATACCAAGCGCCTCTTCAGTTCCTTTAGAACATTTATTAATTGGAAGAGAATAGTTCCTTTTATAGACTGAAATCCCAGTGCTGATGGATATCTGCAATAGGCACATCTAAATATACATAGAAAAGCACAAATGAGGATAGGTTGATATTTATGCTTCTGTTATTTACTTCTGTTCAATCCTAGAAGTTGCAGCCATCATTTAATATCCAAATTAACAAAGTTAGAAGAAACTTTTTTATTATTACTTCCGTATAATGGATGTTTAAATGCTTTAATGTTGTTGTAACCTGAATAGTCTTGATACATGTGAGGATTGCTGGATGAAATGTCAGAAAACATTTTTTCTTTTCTCCATTTGGAAAAAAACAGTATATAAGGAGGCAACTTAATTTTGTATTCTCTTTGTATTATACATCCTTAAATTTGTTCTATATTTCTTACTGCATTCAGGCACTGTTCGTAGAAGTTTCTCTGAGGTTGGAACATCATCTGTGGGAACTTCAGACATTGAAAAATTGGATTCAAGCTTGCGTGAGCTTGAAATTCCAAAAAGTGAAGCACAAAAACATCGAAACATACTTGCTGAAGAGGCTGCACAGATTTTTGACAGTAATATACCTGACCAACAGAAGGCATTAAATTCTCAGGATGAATCACCTGTACCATTCCCTGTTGTCTCAATTTATCTTTGTAAAACTACAATTCACTCTCTTCTGCATGAGTACTAGATGTTTCCAGAGAATGATTCTATGGCACTGATTATTCTTAGTTAAGAACTTTTGATTAGGGAAGTGCTTATAAGTTCTTGGTGGAAAAATTAAATACCTAATGGTTAAAAAGGAACGTTCAAATTGTTTTTCTTCTATTTGGATGATTGTGTTGCGGTGTCCATATCATTGTGTGAACCTGCCTAGTCCACATCCGTGCTTCGTATATGACGAGTATCTATGAATTTGGCATATGATATCTAAATTCTTTCTTAACAAGAGAAAAAATGTTGTTGCCATCAATTGTTTGATGTTATGGACATGTTGATGAATGTATAGAATTTGTAATAAATTCAATAATAGTTTGTATACCATCTCAACAATTTGAGATAAAATCATAGAAGTATGGTCATGTCGGAGGACGTAAGAACAGCATGCGTGAAAAGTGTGGTATAGCGGATAGTTACAAGACAAAATTCATAGGACATATGCTGATAGTTACAAGACAAAATTCATAGGAGATACGTGGATAGATATGCTTAAGCAGTTTTAGGGTATCGCACTTATGCATTTTTAATATGTTTGTTTAAGGTTTTTTGTAAGCCACCCTTTCTTTTTACTAGTCTTCTTAAGTCTAGAAGATTTTTTCCTACTACAGATTAGCATTTAGGTTAGATAGAAATATACAGCAGGATATATGTAAAATCTGTAGTTAATAGTTGCATAATTTGCCATGATAGGAAACTACTTACCAATTCTTAGTATTGTTTCAGTTGTTCTCTTTGTATTTCAGTGATTATTCTTACAAATTGCCTTGATAAGTGGTTTCTTGGCTGGTGTGACAGACTGACAGGTTGATTGATCATTTGAGATGTGTAACTGACAATGTTATGAAATCTTATAAATCTGTGCAGCTTAAATTGTTGAACAGAATAGTCACCGTGAAAAGTGACGGGACTGTAGTGTTTGAAGTTCCTGAAGATGTTGAGCCCCGTGCTCTTGGTGGTGGACGGAGAGATGCATACATTGAAGTTGCTGAAGAAGAGGCACTTGATTTTCTGGATATTCCACCATTGCAAATAGTGATGCTTATAGTTGGCACACGAGGAGATGTGCAGCCATTTATTGCGATTGGAAAACGTCTCCAGGTTAGGAATCTGGAAGCCTATAACTTCTTTATAACCTCATTTGGGATTTCTGGTAATATACGTGTAAGTGGAAATTGGAGCAATTTTCAACCAAAATTATTAAGTTGAAGACTGAATTATTGCTCTGGTTTGTTTTCTTTATCTCTCTCTATCTCTATATTCTCTCTCTCTCTCTATATATATATATGTATGTATACATATTATATATAACAAATTCTGTATATTTAAGAAGAGCCAGTAAATGCTTCTTGTTCCTCACTTTAACTTAGGTTAACTTTTTAATAATAGGAAAAAGAATTCTGCTGTAGTCCATATAAAAACAGCTCTTTATGAGCAGTTTGCATATAGACTAGAAGCATTATACTTGGTGATGGTCATTTAGGTGTTTGCTGCCTTGATCAGGATCAAAGTGTTGCTAGCTGTTATTGACTCAATATTGTTGCTTATGAAACGTAGAGTGTTGGATGAATTTCTCTGATTGCATGTGTCTTGATTCATTGCTCTGAATTAGGTTTATCTTTTATACTTAAAACTAAAAATTTAAAGTTTTCTATTCCTTTTTTTCTTGGTGTTTAAATGCAAAAGATGATGTTCATGCAGTACTAGTTCATCATTTTGTCTAATAGGTATATATTCTTTTGAAACCTGGTTGGCAACAACTAGCATGCTGCTTTTGCCTCACAAGCTTGTGCTTACTGCATTGTTAAGAAAAAAAAGAGTATAACAGTTAAGCTCAATCCTGTTTATTGTTTGTTTAAAATGATACTATTCGAAAGGATGTTTTGCATGCAGGATTATGGTCATCGTGTAAGGTTGGCGACTCATTCAAATTTCAAAGAGTTTGTGCTGACTGCTGGGCTGGAGTTCTATCCATTGGGCGGAGATCCAAAAGTTCTTGCCGGATGTATGTACCTAACCCATTATTTGATTTTCTGGTGTAACCTTCTAGGAATTCTGATAAGATCATTTTGAGGTTGTTCCTATTTGTAATTAAAATTAGTGCCATGCGGATTATTAACATATAAATAATTGCATGACATTTTTCATTCATCTTTACAGCTGTAGCACTGAACCTTCTTGTTACTTTTAAGTTTGTCAATAACCCAGCTTCATATAAAAAATGTTGGTGTTAATTTTAAGATTGTCCGGTAAGCTCAAAGCAATATATCAATGAAATTGAATGTTTTTTTGATAGGAATAGTAGGCCTCATTAAAAACCCCTTTCATGATTAACGGAACTTGAAAATAGTTCCTTAATCAGCGGAAGGAGGAAAAGAGTGCCCTAGGATTTCATTAACCTCAAATAATTACAAAGTAATACAAAGTCTAATCTCCCTCAAGAGATAAAAAACCAAAAAGAAACAGCCCTTAACAGAACATAATTATCAACCAATACCAGCCTTAGCTAGGACATCCGCCTCTATATTGGCTGTCCTACTAACCCATCTAATAAGATCTTCATAAACACTAAGCTTTTGAATAATGTCCTTAACAACTTGAACATAAACGACAGGACATGAAACAACATCCTTGACCCAACCAATTGCCACCTTACTATCACTCGATAATCAATCTATCTTTAAACCTATGGTGAATAGATTCATAATAATCTAAACCCTTTAGGATAGCTTTCAATTCCATCAAAGTTGGAGGTCCTGGACCAGCAAGCTCTTTGAAGGAGCCAAGAATCGAACCATAAATGTCTTTCAGAACACCACCTAAACCACTCCTCTTCCAATCACTAGAAGTAGCCGCATCCACATTAAGTTTAATAAAACCCTTTGGAGGAGGGGACCAAGGAAACTTAGTTGAAATCCGATTAGAATGAGACGAGCAAGAATCCACTAAGGAAGGGTCGGCAATAAGAGCATCCTTGGAAATAGAAATATGAGTTTCCCTAGCTAGAAACCATGAAGCAAGCCTGCACCTTGCTAGAAAGAACATTTCTACTCGATCAAGCTTCCCTCCTTCGAACACTATATAATTCCTAGTTTTCCATATTGTCCATAAAACCACTCCAGGGATAAATGACCACATAAGAGAGTTGGTCTTCAAGTCAGTCCATGCTAATAGGAATCTTTTAGCATCTTCATGAAAAATAGACTGAAAATTCCAATAGCCCATGAATTTAGTCCATATTGGCCAAACAACCGAACAAGAAAAAAATAGATGAGATGAAGACTCTTCTTCTAGATTACAAAAAGGACACAAAGTATCATTTATGCCCTGAACACCTCTCTTAACCAGAGCTGTCTTCACTGCCAGCTCCTTTAAGATAACTTGCCAAAGAAAAGTCTCCACTCCTGGAGGCAGCAGGCCCCTCCAAATAATAGACTTCCAAAATTTAGCTTCCTCCGAATTGGAAGTACCCGAATAAGATAGATTAGCACATGATTTAACAGTGAAAACCCCTTCTCAAGTCCCCTTCCAAAATAGTCCATCAACAGCATCAGCAGAAATAGAAAAATATGAAATAACAGCCATCAAGTTTGACCATTGTTCAAATTCCCAGTCATTCAACTCCCTTCTCAACTGAACGTTCCAAAACCAGCCCCCAGAGCTGTATTCCCCAAACTGAAATAATCTTCCAGTTTTGTTCACTGCAATAGAGAAAAGTCTAGGGAACATGACCATCAAAGGATGATCCAATGCCCAAGTGTCTTGCCAAAACCGAATATTCCTTCCATTGCCAATTTTATAGCTATAATTGCTTCTGATACTATAGCCCATCGAATCAGCTTTAAAATGATTACTCACCATAGATCTCCATATCCAAGAAAATTTAGGAGAAACCTTATTGTCAAACTGCATCAAGGAAGAGTCCATTTTATATTTAATGCAAAGCATTTCCCTCCAAGTCTCCTTCCTCTCAATAGCAAACCTCCAAGCCCATTTTTCCAATAGAGCCCTATTCATCGTATTTAAATTAGGAACTCCCAAGCTTCCTTCAATTTTTGGTTTACAAACGTCGGTCCAGCTTACCCAATGGATCTTCTTCCTCCCATCTCCACCACCCCATAAAAAATTTGACATAATAGAATTAAGGGTCTTGTATACTGAAGCTGGAACCTTAAACAATGACAAATAGTATATAAGAAGTGAACATAGGACTGACTTAATCAGAACCAACCTGCCTGACAGTGACAAAGCGGAGCCTTTTCAGCTCGCTAACCTCTTATTGAAGCTTTGAACCACTGGATCCCACAGACTGTTGGAGTTTCTGTGTGGACCAAGAGGGAGTCCCAAATATTCTGAGGGAAAAGAACCCACTGAACATCCAATCGTAGCTGCCCAATCCTTAATTTCCTCTACCTTTAAGTTCACCCCAAACAATTTACAGTTCTTCAAGTTCAACTGAAGTCCAGATATAATCTCAAACACTCGAAGCACCCTCTTCACATTCAAGATCTGTTTTTTCGATGCACCACAGAAAATTATAAGGTCGTCTGCAAATTGAAGATTTGTTAAATTAAAATTCCTCTCCTCATTTCTAATGACCAAACCCGAAAAAAGCCCCCCTGAAACAGCCTTAAGTATCAATAAATTCAAGAGTTCCCCAACTATATTAAACAACAATGGAGACAAGGAACAACCTTGACGAAGACCCTTAGCCATTGGAATTTTCTCGGTTGGAACCCCATTCACCAACACTGAAACAGTTGCTGAAGTGATGCGCTTCGAAATCCACCCTATCCATCTAGAACCAAAGCCCATTTCCTTCATAATTCTGAACAAAATAGGCCAGTCAAGAGTATCATATGCTTTCTTGAAATCAACTTTAAAAACACATCCTTTTATACCATTCTTCTTCCAAAAGTCAATCCCTTCATTGGCTATAAGGGAACAGTCCTAGATTTGTTGACCGGGGATAAAAGCGAACTAACATGGACTGATCAAATCTGAAATGTAGCTCCTAAGTCTCCTTGACAGACATTTAGAGGATCTTGTACAAACCACCAACTAAGCTTTTAGGTCTAAAATCGTCCAAACCACCAATGTTTGAAATCTTTGGAATAAGAGTGATGAATGTGTGATTTATTCCATGTTCCCATTCCTTCCCCAAGTAAAAATTCTTAAAGAATTTCATAATATCTTCCTTAAGGACCTGCCAAAACCTCTTGAAAAAACCCAGATTAAAGCCATCAGGACCCGGAGCTTTGTTACTACCACAAGACTTCACAATATCCCAAACTTTCTCCTTTGAAAATTCCTGCTCTAAGAACTGAATGTGCTCCAAAGAAATTTTGGAAAAATCCAGTTTTAAGTCGTCAATTTCTAAAGTAGATCGGTCATTGTAGATCTTAAAAAAATAATCCTTTACAATGGCCTTAATTGCAGTTGGGTCTTCAACTGTTTCTCCTCTAAAATTTAGTGCAACCAGAGCATTCCTCTTCTTCTTAACCGTAGCACAGGTATGGAAGTATTTAGTATTGCGATCCCCATCTTCAATCCATTTAGATCTCGAGTACTGAAACCAAATCTGCTCCTGGATCTTGTGAAGCTTCCACAATTCTGCTCTATAATTTTTCAACTCTGTTAATACCTCACTGTCGACATCACCCTGCTTTTGTTGAATATCAGCCTCTATCATCGAAATTTTCTTCTCTAACTCTGAAATCAAGTCTCCTAGGTACTTATCTCTGTTTCCAGTCCACTTCTTTATTGCATGTTTGGCATTCCTTAAAAGACTAAAAGCACCTGCCTTCTTCTGACTTTTCTTACAACTCTGAATAGAAGAAATAACCATATCCTCAAAACCCTCATCATCCATCAAATAGTTGAATAGTCTAAACGGTTTTTGACCCCAGTCCACTCCTTTATTCACAAGAACTATAACATTGTGATCTGATAATGATCTTGGTAGAAGAGATTGCAAAATGTCCAGAAACAAAGCTAGAAATTGACTGTCAACCAAAAAACGATCCAATCTTACAAAAGTGGGATTCTCTTAGTTATTACATCAAGTGAACCTACCCTCATTCATAGGAAGAACAATTAAGTCCGTATGAAGAATGAACTCATTAAAGATCTCTATTGAGCTCCTACTTTGACCTTTGCCCATCTTCTCATCTTCTTGTAAATAGACATTGAAGTCCCCTCCCACACAAACGGGAAAATTCTGTCCACTAAGAAAATTGCTTAATTCTTAAAAAAAAAACCAGCTTTCTCCTCCTCCACTGCTGGACCGTATACATTGATGAAACCACAACTGAAGTTTTTATTCCGAAATTTACCAAAACTAGCTATAAATCTCCTACTAATAAACTGACTCTCCAACTCAAAGATATTGTCATCCCAACAACACAACAGGCCCCCTGCTGATCCAATTGAAGGAGATTCCAAAACTCCTTTAAGCTTATTAATCCCACTCCTCCTTAAAAAAGATCTCTTAAATTTTTCAGTCTTGGTTTCTTGCAGCCAAAGGAAAGTAGGATTTAAGCTAGTGACTAAATTCTGAACAACCCTCTTTTTTCATTTTTCCCCAAACCCCTAACATTCCATGAACATATTACTAACTTTGTCATCTTCATAAAAGGAAAAAGGTACAAACAAAACCCTCAATCAACCAAACCTTGATTAACCCCATTCAACCCTTTCTCTAGAGCTATGATTTTTTCCAAAAAGGCTTCTTTCCCTTCCTTAAAAGACACTCCCAAAAGCTTACTAACCTTCCAAGTTTCTACAGCTTCTTTCAATAAACTCGAGAAAGCTGAGGAGGATGTTGTATCAATGCTCACCTGGTCAAGGGCTTCTCGAAACAAGATCCTTCTAGTTCTCCTCTTCCTTCTAATTAACAAACCAGATTTAGATCTTAAGCATTCACCTTCAGAAAAGTAACCTTCAATCTCCCTCTCTACGCTCCCATCCCCAAAACCATTGTCAATGCTCGGAAGAAGACTACCATCAACAATGAGCTCTGCTGATAAACAAAGTTGTTTTGTAGTACTGGAATCCACATCCAACTTCCTCTGCCCAACTATGGTGCCATCTATTTCATTCGAGAAGTTCAACAAATCCCCATACCAATATCTTCTTTCCCTCAACCTGCTATAGACCCTTTTGCAACTGCTCAAACTTATTGTTTCCAGCACATCACTCTCTGTTGTGAACTTTCTTCTAGAACGGAGTAACTGTCTCCCCTTTGAGATGTCTCCTAAATTAGTTGAAACCAGTTCAACCAGCCTTAAGCTTTCTTCTTCAGCCTCTATTTCTGCATTAACCAACTTCTCTGTAATTGGGCTCGTCTCCAATACTTTAAACGTTTTCCTGTTTTTTCCTGCTAAATTAAGGTTCTCAACCAATTCCCCAAACTTATTAATTGTAAATGCTGGCCCAGAAATGAAACCCGAAAAGTCTTTTGACCCAAACTGCCCAGAGTCTTTAGAATGGGCCTGAGATTCATCAGCCGAATAATGTTGACTTCTAATCCCCAAACCTAAAAACTCACAAACTTTTAAACTCCCAACATTCTGACTTTCTGGAAGACCACAATTGATACCTTTCCTATCTAAGGAAAGCCTTGCTAGCTGTCTATTCTCACTAACTCCTCCAGAACCACGAAACACACCCTGGTCAATCCAATTGTCCACTGAAAGACGATTTTTTCTTGCTGTACATGCCTCACCTTCCCCATGATCTGACAACAATCTATCTTCATCCTCCTCAGACATAATTTCTTCAAAAAATGCCTCACCGGAATCCTCCACCGGAAAATTACTGAAAAACGAACTTGAATACTCACTTGTTGATCCATTCTTGATACTTACTTTGAATGATCTTCCATAAGATCCAAGAGTGATCACCTCTGGAACATCAAAGGGGCTTGCCACCCTCAATAAAATTCTTTCCATTGTGAGGTCTTCTCTTTTCCTTGTACTCTCATGAATACCTACCACATTGCCCCATCTACCAGCCAACTTCTCTAAGAAAGATTCATTCCAGCATAACAAAGGAACCCCTATTAATTCTGCCATGCAGAAGGCCATTGGAACTCCGGCCTCATTCAGTAAAGGTTCCACTCGTTCAAACCACTGTTTTAAAACCTCTTCCTTTTTGCTCCGTAAATCCAACATCTCCTCATAAGATTTAAGAACTAAAACGCAAGAATTCCATACATAACCCCATCTAGTAATTTGAACATCATAGCCTTCCTTTAATAAGGCATTCCGAATGAACTCAACTTGAAAAGAGTATTTGATAATCCCTGTTAACGACCTCTTCACCCAGTTGGCACTTTCTGATGGAATATGCATCTCCAAAATATTTTTCTTGACATTCCTCCTTTGGATATCCTCAGACAATAGTTCTTTGTTCCCCCTTGTATTCCCATTTGACATCAGAGCATCCCTATAAGTTCTGTCGTCCCTTCTACTTCTGATAATATTTTCTCTTTCTCTTGATTTTGAAGAATCTGCATTAATCTGACCAGAAGCCTTGTTTGAAGAAGTATGCACCACCCTTGACCTTGAACGTTCATTCTTAAATCTGGCAAGACTAACTGAGATCTTCCTTCCATCAATCACAACCCTGTTTAACTCATCAACAACCCTCCTCAAATCTTCCTCCCTCTTAAAATGAACAAAAGCAAAGGTGGAAAATCTGTACTTTGGATTTCTTATTTGATTGGGAATAAAAACTCTCATAACAGGACCATGGACTAAGAATATTTCCCTAAGCGTATGACGAGAAACCCTCCTACTCAGGTTGTCGATAAACGCCGACCAACACTCATCGGGAACTGACTTTTCTTTCAAATTCTCTCTCTCTACGTTTTTCTCTCTCACTCATTGACTCTGCTTTTGACATTTTTTTTTACTTATTTTTATCCTAGAAAACATCTTTTTGATGAAATTGAATGTGAATAGTTGTTAAAAGTTTGGATCTCCTGCAAGGCTTCTTAATTATTTCTTTTACCTTGATTTTTTTCCTCTGAGCAGATATGGTGAAAAATAAAGGCTTTTTGCCATCAGGCCCTTCTGAGATTCCCATTCAGCGAAATCAAATAAAGGATATTATCTACTCGTTGCTTCCAGCTTGCAAAGAACCTGATCCTCATTCTGGTATCCCTTTTAAAGCAGATGCAATCATTGCAAATCCTCCAGCATATGGTTAGATTTCATTACTTTTCTATTAGTTTTTGTGGTCTTGTATTTGTGTGTGTGTGTATATATATAAACACATACATACAGGGGCGAATACCTACCTACCCCCTTAATGGTAGAATTCCTCTTTTAGTCCCTTAAAAAATTTAATGCCTCAGTTTAATCTCTCTCTTGCCCCTTAATTAAATGGAAAATTTTCATTTTTCCCCTCCTAAGAAATAATAATTTAATTTAATACCTTTTAATACAAATTTTTTCCTTTGCCCCCCGCCCCCTCAATTTTTTTAATTTTATGTTGGTCACCCCAAGATGATATTCCTACGCTCGCACCTATACACACACACAATCATGTTTAAGTTTGTGCTTATGGGTCTGAATAATGGGAATGGGGGGGGGGTCTAAGATTTGATGTTCCAGTTCCTCTTATTATGTATCTTTGCATTTATTTATCGTGCATGCATAAAGGCCTTTTGGCGGTATTGAGTACAATATTATTCTTTTTAACACTCTGATTTTAGCATCTTGGTGTAGTGTGAGTTTATGCCAGAATCATAAATGTGATATGGACAAGCAGATTCCTAATGAAGTTGTCCCTGTTTGTGAAAAGATTCTGGTGTGAAAATGTGATGATTTCTCTTAGGATGTGTATTATCTGTTTGTTTCTGGAATAGAAGTACTTTATTCTTGTTTGATTTATTTGTTCATAGTCTGATAGAAACTTTTTCAACGCTGTTTAGGACATACCCATGTGGCCGAGGCATTAAAAGTACCAATTCACATATTTTTCACAATGCCATGGACGTAAGTCTTGTCTGGGTAATGTTATCTACAGATTAATTAGATTTTGCTCTAACATCTCCAAAGCTAGCAGTGCACAATTTTCATTTCTTGTTTTGTATCAGTCTGTTGTTCTATTACATGACTTAATGGGCCCTCTTAGACTGATTTGCACAATCTGTTATTGTTTCCTCCAGGCCAACGAGTGAGTTCTCGCATCCATTGTCCCGTGTGAAGCAACCTGCTGGATATCGAGTGAGTTCTGTGAAGTATATTCACATTTATCATTTTTTACCATGTATTTTTGTTTGGACCTTCTCATTATATTTGTTTGTGTTTTCCACAGCTTTCATATCAAATTGTTGACTCAATGATTTGGCTCGGGATAAGGGATTTGATAAATGATCTTAGAAAGAAAAAGCTGAAGTTACGACCAGTCACATATTTGAGTGGTTCCCAAGGCTCTGATTCTGATGTGCCTCATGGATATATATGGAGTCCTCACCTTGTTCCTAAACCTAAAGGTGGTCGTTGTTATAGGTCTATTGTAGAGTGTAGAACTTAAAAGATATTACTCTGGTTTTTAATAAGCTTGTTTCTTTTTTAAATTCTTTACGTCAGTTCATGTTCTCTCCATCTTATGTAATAAAGTGTGAGGACATCCTCTTAGAAGAAACAATATATTCTGTAACAACTTTACATGCTAGCAAGAGTTGCTCAAACAGACGGATGACACTTTTATTTTCCTCCTTCAGATTGGGGACCGAAGATTGATGTGGTAGGCTTTTGCTTTCTTGATCTTGCAAAAAATTATGAGCCTCCAGCATCACTCGTACAGTGGCTTGCAGCTGGTCCAAAGCCTATATATATTGGATTTGGTAGCCTTGTGAGTTTGATTTCTTTTCTCATTTATCATTTGCTGTATAGTCTGCTGTAATTTGTGAGTTTTTTCCCCTATTAAGTAGCAGATATTTGTAGCAGTGCCTACTTGGGAATTTTTCTTTGCACTGAGAAATCCATTAAAAAGTTATGTTATTAATATAAATCCCAAATTATTTTATACTATATAGCGAAATGGTGACCGGCCAAATGGGCTTCTCTGTTGAGGGTATTTTTGTCTCTTTTTCTCTTATACTTTTTTTACTGTAAGTTGAGATAGTAGAAAATGCCTGAATTTATTTCCTGAATCAACAGAAGTTTGGTGGTGCTTTGGACGTAACCTTTCTGTGAAAAATATTGTCCGAGGAAATCACAGAGGATCAAATTTTGTTTACTAATGATGTGCTAAGCATATCTCATATACAAAGACCAAAACGATTACTCCCTGTACACAACAAAAAGTATTGGGGACGCCTAATTACCTGAAGTTTATGATTTATCCTGGGGATTTTATAATATAATTGTAATACAATGCTTGCATGCCCTGGGTAAGGATTACATCTCAAGTTTGGTCTGTAGAGATGGGTTCCTTCCCTTTTACAGGTCAAGAGATCTATCAAGATACCGAGTAACATAGCGAGATAGGTTAAGAATTTTAACTGGCCTTAGTTGTAAGTTTTTTTCCAGACTTTTCAATTAAAGATATGAACTTGGTTTTCTATGTTGATGAATCTGTTAAGGAATTTTTGGTTTACTAAAGCATTTCTCTTGAAATCTCAACCATTAGTGTAGCTGTGCTTGGTCATTTCCTGCTTGTTTTCTTTTTGTTTCCTCTTGATACGGAAAGGTTGTTCTGTTTGATTTCTTATGTTGAGTTTTTTTAACTGTATTCCTCCAGACGTCTCTAGTATGTTAGCTAGGGAAACTGCTGAAATTCTTAAATTGTTGTAGAATTTTGGATCACAACTTATGTACTGAAAGGTATCAGTCCCTATAGTGTTGCAACCAGAAATTTCACTGCTTCATTATTTACAGACTAAGCTATAAGGTCGTGAGCCCTAAACATTCAATGACTATCTTGTCTTACCTTTTTAAGTAGCTCTTCCCAATGGATGTTTGACACAACTACATTTTGTTTGATACTCGTAGGATGAAATGAATTTTTTTTTATATTTAAACTTTTATTGCTTTTTTTCTAATCACTTTATACTATTTTAATGGAGCCTGGTAAAATCCTCAAGAGCAAGAATACTAGGATTGAAATAGAGAAGTATAGAATTTAGAAACCCTTCGTTGTTGTTCCTAGGGAGTTTGTGTTTTGTCCATTTTGTTAAGCATAGGATATGACGAAGATTTGTTTTCTAGTACGTTTTGTATGAGTTACTTGTGTCCCCGATATAAAACCAAGCCTAATGAATGCGATAAATGATTTCATTTTTTATTGTTTTTCCTATTTTTCATTGGATACAGACCTGTCACATTGACCATAAAAATAGATTGCAATATAGTGAATTTATATCACTGTGACGTTGGTTGGTCGCTATTAGATACTGTTCTAACTTATTTGATCTTACATATATGGATTTTATTTTCTTTAAAGTATATGATCTTTTTGTAAAACTCTTTCAACTCATGTCAGCCAGTTCAAGAACCAGAAAAAATGACCCAAATAATTGTCGAAGCATTGGAACAAACTGGACAGAGGGGTATCATTAATAAAGGCTGGGGTGGCCTCGGCAAATGTAAGTTCTTTTATTCTTACTTTTTACTAACCTAGATCGTGTGCATATTCACTTAGCTGTTTTGTTAATTATTCTCAGTGGCAGAACCCAAGGACTTTGTTTACTTATTGGACAACGTCCCTCATGATTGGCTATTTTTGCAATGCAAGGCTGTGGTGAGTTCATTACAAGAGCACGGCTTTTCTTGGGATTCTTTCTTGTTATATCTGTTTAGCCTCTTTATTCACTGATTGCATTGTATTTAGTGGTCAACCATTTGACCACAGCTTATAGTAGAAGTTTCTTTGAGAGTTATTGTCGGAAATGTTTGTTTGGTCTTGTATTCTTGTCCTTCCTTATTGTCCTGAATGATTACAAGTTTGACATGACAAATTCGCAAAGTTACAGCCTTTCCCCCTTGTCTTAGAAAAGGGCAGAAAGCTCTAAATATTTTGAAACTACTATCACTTTGTTCCCTCCTCGAACTTCACATGTGCGCTCTTGTTATAACATTAATGTCGTTACTTTAAGAAAAAGCAGTTTTCTTTGGGTTAATGGTATTCTTTGATGAGATGATTACTCTATTGGCTCGGTGATCCCTATGTTTTATCCCAATTGAAGCATGGACACCAGCTGAATACCAGATGGTATGTCAAAGAAGTTTGGCTTTTATGGCTAGAGGAGGTCGCATGATGAATGATTAGAGCAGAAGCCAAGTGATGCTACTACTAACACATGATTTAAAAGTAGCTGAAAGTGATAGGCAGGCATAAAGCAGTATAGCATGCTTATTAGGATGTGCAAGTATTTGACCATTCCTATTAACCTTCGAATTATTATCAGTTCGATCCTCTTAAAATTTCTGATATCTATGTTGCTTTGTCCCCTAATTTTAATTGAAGTACTAGTGTCCTGAATCCTTGTCTGTCAAAGTATCTGGACTTCTGTTTGAAAGTATCATATATCTGTACATGAATATAAGGATGTGGTCCTTCAAGGACCCTTGAAATACATGGAAAACTTAAAAAAAAGTCTGTATTGGATACTACCCTCATCTATCACCCCCACCTGAATTCAAGTAACATAGTTTGATATTTCTCATGTTTTGGCACTTCAAGTAGTTTCTCTTGAAAACTACTTCTCCTGTTTGGTTTTGAGCGGCAAGATCTTTTTGTTATCCTGATTTCAGGTTCATCATGGTGGTGCTGGAACAACAGCTGCTGGTCTTAAAGCTGCGGTAAGAGCAAACATTTTGATCTTTGCTTGTCTACTTCTTGTTCCATGACTAGCTGCATTCATTGCCTTGCCTAGTGCAATAACCTTGTGCTTTTGGTTTCATTTGGCGTTCACCTGCCTTTGTTCCGGATTTCTGTCCTCAATTTTAGTGCCCAACAACCATTGTACCGTTCTTTGGTGATCAACCTTTCTGGGGTGACCGAGTGCATGCTAGAGGAGTGGGACCTCCTCCCATTCAGGTCGATGAATTCTCACTTCCCAAGTTGATTGATGCAATAAAATTTATGCTAAACCCAAAGGTAATTCTTTTCATTTTTCCATTTCGAGTCGAGGGTTATGTTGTTTGGGCTTGAGTGTGAGTGTTGAATATGGGTTTGTGTTCACCACCGTGTTCGGGCAAGGCCCATTTGATGCTCATTTGTGTGTGTAAAGAATGTTGAAAATAGGGCTAATGTAAAGTGAAGTAAAAAGGAATTGAGTGATGAAATAAATTAAATGACAAAGGTAAGAAAAAAGTGAAAAACTTCACTAGTATATTCAAGTAACAATAGATTACAAGTTTAATATGTATATATAGTAGGTTAGAACAAGTATTTAATTTAAACTAAACTACTTAGTAGTTATCCTTATCTAACTTTCTAAGAGTTAATTTAAACTAAACTACTCAGTAGTTATCTTTATCTAACTTTCTAAGAGTTAGTGTTATATTAAAATACTAATTAATTATCCTTATCTATCGCATAACCTACAAAGAAATAGTTTAAAAGAATTTCTTTTCCCATGAACTTAGTAATGAGATATTCAGGTGAAAGAGAAGGCCATTGAACTTGCCAAGGCAATGGAGAACGAGGATGGGGTGAGCGGCGCGGTAAAAGCATTTTTTAAGCATCTTCCTTGCAATAAGCCAGAACACGAGCCATCACCGGAGCCACCATCAATTCTGTTTTCCATCAGACGATGTTTCGGTTGTTCGTGATTCCGGTATGTCTGTTTTTTTGTAAATTTTTTCATATAATGTGTTCTACAGTGTCATACATGCCCTCTTTCTCACATGTCTATCCAAACATTAATGAATTCACATTCCTGCTTCTAGAAATCTAATTATGTACAATTGGAGCTACACTTTAGTGTAAAACATTAATTAGCATTCATCTGGTAGGTAAAAAAAATGCCCTCTTTCTTTCATTTTTTAGTTACTATCATTTATAAAAGAAATAGAAACGCAGTGACATAAAATTACTGTTTTCATTCAGTTTTACAGTTTCTTGATGTAATTGATAGGGTGGATGAATTCGATTGTGATTTTTTTTTGTCATTTAGACAAAAGCATATCACTTACGGTTACAGCAATTTATTAATCAATCACAATCCAGAACTACGCCCACAAAAATAATGGCATAATGTCAAAAATAGCTCTTTTAAGATTTATCAAAATAATTTTTGTTCCTATTTTTGTATCAGAATTTTTGGCTTCATTTTGGGATAAAAACTCTTTCTATAGATGAAAACTATTAGTTAAAACATGATTAATGTTTCAAAATAGAAGTCTTTTTCAACTTAAAATAAAATGTTAAGCATTAAAATATTTAAAAAAAATAAATGATAAAATGATTATTCTTTCAATTGTTAGGAGTTTTTGTCTTAAAATGAAACGTTAAAGGTCAAAATGTTATATATATAGTAGGGGCAAAACGAATATTTTGGTAAATGTTAAGGGTTAATTTTGACAGTAAAAAATAATTGTGGAATCTATGCTTTTCAAAGTGGACCTAGTTTCTTTTTGGTGAAGTACATACTCTCCGAATTATGATATTTTTTTTTATCGTTTTGGTTAATAAACTTTCGAATGACTTTCTAAATAATTATTAGTTATTAAAACTATCGGAATATGTTTTGGTCACTATGCCTTTATGAAATATGTTATTTTTTTGGAATTTTAAACATAGATTAAAAAAATATGAAAATATATGTATACAAAAATTATAATTTATTTCTTAAAATTATAAAGATATTTTTTAAATTATATTCTTTTTAAATCATATTAAATCAAAGAAAAATATTTAACAAACAAAAGTTATTGGGAAATTAAGGTGTGTTTTTATGAGACATTATCGCGTTTAACTTTTATTTTATATGGTTAATTTTTGGTTACCAAGTAATGGTCAGTAGTTTGATTTGATAATATTTAAATGATTAAATAATTTGATTGATGAAATTTAACTATCAATTAGTTAAAGTGAAAAAGGATAATAATTAAATAATCATATGTAGAATTTATCTTATTATTCTTTTATAAATTTAAATTTTGGGTTCCAAGTTATTAACTTGGAATTTTAAACGAGCAAGTAGTCCGTCGACCACCTTTTAGTAGCCATTCATGGCATGCACCGTCATCACCCCTGAGGTCATTATCGTCTCACAACCAAACCCCGACCATCATCTTTTATCTATGTTGATCGTCGTTCGTCAGCAACTTGTTAGAAGTCGTGTCATCCTTTGTATCTCTGATCATTGCAATCTCCTATAATCGTCGCTTAAATCATGGGGTTTGACAGTTGGATATTCAGGTGATTAGGCGTTGTCGAGATTTTGGGTGATTGACGGTGATTGTGGCGACTGATGGTGGTGAGAAGATTGAAATTAGAGTTTTTATGATTTTTTTCTATAAATTTTAAAAAAAATGATATTTTATAAAAATAATAATCTTAAGTTTTTTTAAAAAGTAAATATTTTTGAAATTTTATATGACTAATACATGTTAGCTAACGATCAAATTTAATGATCGTTACGATTTAGGCACCTAAAAGTGTAAAGTTGGAAACATTAGTCCCTGTTATTAGCTAGAAAGGGAGAAAAGTCATTTTAAGATATAATTTAGGTACTTAAAAGTGTATTAAGCCGTATATATAATTGATTTTAATTTGTAAGATACAATCTAATTGTTTACATTTGTAAGAAATAATAAACTGATGGTCGTCTTGAAATTAGATCTGACATAAGAATCTCGGTAACCAAATGCCAGGAAAAAAAAAACTCTGATGCATTAATGTAGTTAATAAAAGGTGACCCTTGTTTTATAAAATTACACTTCGAGTAAACACTATAAATAACCAATAAAGGAAGACCTACTTGACATTGCAAAAAAGAATTACAACTGAGACAAAAACACAAAAAACAATGAGCTCTTTCTGCAGAAACATGTATTTTTCATCGTTTTAGCAACATTAATGTCGACAAATCCTTCGACATCAGCACCCACCAAAGACCAACAACAAAACATGTTGTAGAAGACGTGGCACATCCATGCAGTTAACGGTATGAGCAGCAACAAGATTTTGTTCCTCCACTGTAAATCCGGCGACACCGATCTCGGTATCTATAACCTCACCGTCGGCAACGAGTTCGAGTGGAAATTCAAGCTCAACATCTTCGCCAGCCGCCAGGACGCTATACTGGTGTTTCATGGCTTGCCGGTCCGACGACGTTCAGGCGGATTTCAACGTGTTTTGGGACGACGACAACTTCTTTTATAGGTGCAACTGGAAATATTGCATTTGGATTTCCAAAGACGATGGCATTTACTTGAAGAACATACCGGAAAACTACGATGAGTTCCAGCACAAATGGGAAGGTGGGAGAGGGCTCCTTGCCAATTCCACCCTTGTTTGAATGTTTCTGGTCATATTTGGGTTTTGGTCCCTCTATTATGTTCAAAAGTTTGGAATTGAAGTATAATGACTAAATCTTAAATTGAGTATGGTAGAGGGAGCAAAATTGAGATTTGACCAAATGCTGGGGATGTGACCTTCACTTTACCAAAATATATGTATGTTATTTGTAATGAAATTATCAACTTTTACTTTCTATTTTGTTTCTTTCTCTTTTAGAAAAAAATCAGAAATACTTGGTGCAGTCAATAATCTTTAGAGTAATTAATCAATTAAGAAATGAGTTTAGAGAAATCTAAATTGATTAGTCGACTTCTTCGAGATATTAATAAAAGACTAATTGGCTTTTAATCAATGATTAAAAAGTTTGAATCAACCTATGAGAGTTTATTTCATGATAGGTTTAAGTCGGCTTAGGATCATATTGGACTTTTGAAGCTTGATAGATCTCATTGAGAGATAATTGGGCCTTTGGGCTAAAAAATGAGATTTTTGTATAAGAGACAAATGTGGTCGAACCAATAGTGTAATTATTCCATCATTAAAATTTTATAGTGATTTTGCCAATGTCATCTGTGGGATATTAGGGGGAGGGGAGAATGTTTTTTTATATATAAATGTCACATTAGGTCTATATGTAACGGATCATGTTTAGAGTGTTACGTTCAGTGACAATAATTAAAATAATCAAATTTGTTAACGTCAACTTTACAAGACAATTATGATTTGCATATAAATACTAAAGGAAAGGTTAACATAAAAATTTAAAGAACGTGAAAAGAAATAAAATCAAAACATTTCCTTAATATATGCTTCATTTTCTTGAAAAAAATAACAATTATCGTTAATTTCCATCTCTATTTATAATTAGACACAATATTAATATAAACTTGAAGATGGAGAGAATAGATCCAACATATTGCTCTGTAAATAATTTTAAATCTTACCTAAAATATTACGAAGATGAATAGATGTTATATTCACGTCATCATCGGGTTCAGTGGAACCAACAAAATGGATGAAGCTCACTGCAAATCCAAAGACGACGATCTCGGCCTCTATTACATTCCTATCCATGGTGAATTCAATTGGACTTTTCACACCGATTTCTTCTCTTGGAGCTGTGGCCAAAAGTTCCTCGATGTCTTCTAGGTGGACGATACATTCGGTCATAACCATTTTTTTTGAAAAATAATTAAATATTATTTTAAAAATAGTTATAATTATTTATTTGAAAAATTAGCGGATTTTGAATTGATTTGGAATAAATGACATAGGAGTCGTCATCGACCTTTGGGTTAGTTTGGTCAAATACATAAAAATGTCTTTTAAAAACAATTTAAAGAAAAATCATTTTTAATACAAAAATGGTCTACGTTTACCAAAGATTCGATTTAACGGATTCGAGAATCGATTACGCGTGAGGAAAGATAAACACCCCCACAACACCCAAAATTGGTACTGTGTCGCTTACACGTTGTCGTAATTGGTGGAAATCATAAATTGAATATAAAGTTAAATTATTATCCATTTATTAAAATTTGATTAATTTGTTTTGAATTATTAATTAGGAAAAAATCTTTAACTAGAAAAGAAATCTCAAGATAAGCAATCCTCTATCGGGAAAGCTATCTCGTCTATTTTTTATCTTTAAAGGATATTCCCTCATATAGCCAAAACCATTTAAAGAAAAATTTGCTTATCGAATATAAACTGAAAATCGATAGTTGCGTAAAATAATGAAAATTGTCATTTAAAGAAAAATACATTGCATAATAAAAAAAATTTAATTAGTAAAATAATGGAGATTTATTTCAAGTTCCCATGTCGTAAAATGCCTTGTCGGATCGCACAACTTCGACCAAATGATGATTTCCACCCTCATTTTATGCATATGTGTTCTTGAAGAGATTTGAATATATTAATAGATAAAAATAACAATGGAAATAAATGTAATCGGAAATATAAGAAATAAAATATTTACAGTAAATAAAACTAATAATATTTATTTAATACAATACAAATAACTACAAAATGTGAAAAACTATTCATACATAAAGGACTAAAAATAAAAACACGCAAACATTATAAACCAAAATAAAATACCAAAAATAAGCATTTAAGGGACCAAAATATAATTAACAAAAATTTGAAGGGCTAAACAGTAATAAAAAATCATATCCAAGATTGAAAATATTAATAAATACAGGCACTGGAAATGAAATAAACCCATAACTAATAAAAGACTAAAATAGAATATAAGTAAAACATACATGAAAAATTCAGGGTTTAACCCAAAATACAGAATAATGATCAAAATGTAAGTGTAACATAATTCAAAGCTTAAAGTAAATTATGCAAAAATTCCATTTGATGACTAAAATGAAAAGAATACAATATCAACATAAAAAACAAAACAGATAAACAAATATACTATAAAGCAAATAGGACTAAAACGAAATACTAGACAGATACAGAGCCCAAAATAAAAAGATAAAATTTC